CTTTTTGATAGGAACTTGCAGGTGAATGGGTTAAACATCCTTAATTGCAGGTACGCCGCGAATGGCACTTAGACGAGATGTCCCTGTGTAAAGACAACATAGAATGGCCTATGTATCACCGCCTCCAGTTGTTCAAAGGGGATCGTCCACACACATCACACATCAACAAGAAGTTGCGTCGTTGTGGCGTCCTGCTTCTGCCTGAGTCTCAACACCCAGGTGAATCAGGCCGAAAGCAACGGCTGGTCCCCGCTTCACGTGTCGGTGCAGCGTGGGCATTTGCCCGGCATCCGCTGCCTCTTGGAGGCGCCAGTGCCCCATGCGCGCGAACCAGACAGGGGGGATGGATCCAAGGCAGGCCGTCGGGTAGATGAAGACTCCAACAGGAAGAACCTGAAAAAGACAATCCCAGTTGGGTATTTTAGGTTTTGGTCCTATATATATATCAGGTCACTTCGTCCATCTCTTGGCTCTGATGGTTGGTGATTCACATGATGAGTCTTTTTTCGAAAGAACTCCTTTCACCCAGACGCGACCCGTTCGGCCCCTCATCCTATGGTCCGGGGTCGGAGCTTCCTCAGGACTGGACGGGTCAGGGGTCTGGACCCGAACCAATCCCTATATGGTTTTGAGGGACGGAGCATCTGGGCATGTTGGATGTTAGGCTCTGAGTTTGGACCTCAAAAGCTCCATAGGTCACCACTGGGCGGACAGGGTCGGGTTCACCGTGTCAGGCACCAGCGTGAATTCCAAACTAATTGGTGGCCAAAGCCACGGAAAAAGACTTCCAAGACATGGACATGGGGAAGACTTGCTGGCTGAACACATTGGTGTGCCTCACTTGGAATCCTCTCTTTGCACCGAGAAGCCCACGTTACGTGTGGTCTTCTGATTTCATGGTGCTTCAACAGGATCATCTTGGCCATCCATGTATTTCACCATCTGGATTCTTTCAACAGGGAGGTGATCAAGAATCTACCAACAGAGGTTGAAGAACCTGAAAAGGACTATCCCTGAATGGTCCTACCAGGTCACTTAACCTCTCTTGGTATCTCTTCCTCTTCGGAGCGTTTCGCCCACCCAAAGACCCGCGACCGGCCAGCGACGACCGCCAGCCAGCCACCGGCGCGACGCACAGGCCCAAGGCGATCCCAACAAGGCCGACCGGAGCCTCGGTCGAGAACGGGGTCCGGAGGAAGAACCACCACGGGTCGAAGGCACAAGGACCTCTACGGAATTTGGTGGAGGCGTGTTTTCATTTGGGGGGGGAAGAAGGTGAGATGTCCTCGGCCAGCCCGGGCAAATCCACATCCGCTGGAAGTTCACCTTGATCTTAGGAGAGTCAAGGGCAAGCACTGGGTGGGAGAGGAAGAAAGGTGGCTGAGTTCGCAGACGCTCCGTTCACAGCCCTTGGGCCCTCAAGAGTATAGGGATTGGTTCGGATCCGCGGAGCCCTCCAGTCCCGATTCGGGTCCGACCCCCTGCAGCAGGCTTCGGGGCCGAGTTCCGGGTCGCGTTTGGGCGGTTCCAACACGCTTGGGGCCGAGCTCATCGGGGTTCTGAGGACCGATCGATGTTCACGGGCGTGTGGATGAGTCATGTGGTTCATGGATGCTGGTGCCGGGTAGGGTGGTGATTGTGTTATCAGATCTGTTAGACCTGGGCATGTTTACTGGTTGAGGAAGAAGTGTATCTCTTCACCGATGGAAATGACCTTTTGGGGAGACCACCTTCGGCATTGTTTTCGTGCCAGAATCATCCGCTTGGTGGTTTCGTGTTGTTTCTCCATGCCTTGATGCCTTTTTTCGCCTGTCAACACTGTCAACCAGCAAAAAGATGTGGCTGCAAAAAAAAACACAATCCAAGTAAACACCGGGGTTGGGATGATTTTACTGTAGTGTTTCTCTTGCAAGGGTGAGGATGGTATTTCTGAACCATAAGGACATGCCATTGCTTAACAGGGTGTGGTAAAATGGATAATTTTCTTACAGGGTGTTGATACCGTCAGGGTATTTCTGAACCATGGCTTAACAGGATGTGCTTTCACGGGATATTTCTGAAGCATGCTTAGCCTGATGACCATGACATATTCCCCATACCATGTTCCCCCAAAAGAGTCCATCCCACGCCATCGTGGCCCAGGAAGCACCGGTGCCCCATCTACTTTGCCGCCGTCTCGGGGAACCTGCGTGTGCTAAGGTCTCGTGGCTTGAAGATAGAAGCAAAGTTCAACACAAAAGGAAGCAACTATAGTATTGTATGACTATACACTATATGCAACTGCTGTTCTCAGTGGTTTGCATTGAATGTTTCTGTTTTCGATGTTCGTGCTGCGTGCTCTTCTTATTTCTTCTTGCACTCCAAGACTGGTCCCTCCTCACCATCGGCAGTGGAAGCTCCATCCGCCTCAACGATTGTTGTTGTTTGCGGTCATGGCGCCTACCCACAGAACCCAAATAATTAGATCCCTGCCACCCTTATAACCTAAACTTAGCCCCAACACTCCATGTAATCATATATATATATATGTTCCCTACATGAAGATATGATATGCATATGTATACTTGTAGTGTCATATATCAATGTAGTCTCCCCAGCCCTTAGAAAGCAACAACCCTCCGAACAAACGGCGGCACGAACCCCCTCGCCACGCGCCGGTCGGTCTCCGCCGTCCCGTCGTCCGGGCTCGTCGTCCAAGGCTCTTGGTCTCGAGCCGTGCCTCGCCCGACGTGAAGGACCGCCGCGGCTGGAGCCCGCTGCATACAGCGGTGCAACATGGACACGTGGAGGTCGGCGGGTTCGGGCGGGTTTGGCGCGGTGGTCCAACGCAAACGCAGGTGGGGAGTGACGATAGGAGGATGTGAATACCCTTTCTTGCGCGGGGTCAGACCGCAGATGGACTGGGCGGGTGGTTTCAAACTTTACTTGGGATGATTGATAGCCAATTATGCTTGGACCCACAGGTGGAAGGATGAAGCAAACAGAGGTTGAAGATCTATCCCAACGAGGTGGACCAATGACCAACGGAGCTTGAAGAACCTGAAAAGGACTATCCCAGTTGGGTATCCCAGAGTGGTGCTTGAACCCGCTGGCCCACTGACGATTGTTTCGTTTGTGAGTTGAACCCACGACCCAGTGGATCGTTTGTGGATCATTGTGAATCCTTCGCCGGGGACGAGGAGTTTGCACGTATACGCGCAGTAAATATATCAACCACCAGCGCAGGTGGAATGAAGGAAGCAAAGAGTAGGAGCTCGGGTGTGAACCAGCTGGAAGGTGGATCCAGCAGATCGGAAGTGGGGACGCTGTTCGACCAAAAGAACGTTCCCCAGGAATCCAGTCGTACCTTCCCAGACGGTACTTGGACCCTCATGTTTGGCACTTAAGGAGCATGTTTTTATATTTACCGACTCTGATAATGACTGGCACGTGAGATTCTTTCTGCATCATCCAGCATGATAGGCTGATATATAGGCTGTTAAACCGGAGTTCTGCCTTCACACAGCTCCTAGATGCTCGGAGGGAATTACAAGATGTGCTACCATGTGCCACCTGTTTGCTGCGTCAGGTGGCAAGATGCTTGATCGATTCGATGGCGGATCTCAATCTGCTGCTCGCCAGACGTTACCTCGGAAGTCACGAGACGGCAGGTGATGAAAGGACGTCCATTCGCGGAAGTCACACCCACCATGGAACTGAAGTTGAGGACAGCCGAAAATCCACATGTTCGTTGGTATACCACTGAATCCACAGCCCAAGCGATGAGTTCTCAGCCCAAGCGATGATCCAGTCATCACCCGATCCAGTCATGAGCAACCCTAAGGATCCGAGTTCGGACCCTCCACTCTGAAGGGGTCGAACCCTGCTGTTCACAAGGGTTTGGGCCCCTCATGTACCCTCAAAACCTTTGTTTTTGAGGTGCGGATCCTTAGGGAACAGCCAAAAGGGGTCACAAATCTTAATCTGAGAGGAACTTTTGCATAGAAATCATGAGGAAACCCTTTGAATGGACTGCTTCGAAGATCTTCCTGCGGCCGAGGACCACGAAACCGGGCTCCACACCCTTGGCCTTCGCCGCGGTGCACAACCACTTCGACGCCTTAGTCACTGGGCTCCACGCGATGATCGAAGCGTATCCGAATGGATGTCAGGTTGAGCCCAGCTTTTAAGCTCAGGATGACCTCCCTGGGGATCTGAGTCCGGACCCGACACCTTCAACAAGGAGGTCGAACCCTGCTGTTCACAGGGGGTAACTGAGGCTCCTCAAAGCCCTTAGTCTTTTTGAGGGTCCGGATCCTTAGGGCTATCAATTACCCCCCCTGGCAGACGATCCCAGCTCTGCCCGGTGAAGAATTGAACCCCATGCAAGACCCGACCCTTTTCCGAAGACCAAGCCAGTGGTTTTGGATTGTCCGCGTGGTCCCTTGCAACCAAGTCTTCTCTGCAAGCTCGTTTGAAACCTCCGGAAATGGAGAAAGACTCGTTGCCAACCTGGACTCCTTGCAGAACCGGCCCCAAAAATCGGAGGAATTGCTCTTGCAGAACCACGCGGACCCCAACTTCGCGGTGGGCGAAGGCCGGAAGCTGAGAAGAGGGCGTCAGGTGACGGTGACGTCGGCTTAACATCGATTTGGCTCTCAGGAGAGTGCTCTCCGGTGACTGCATACGGATCACTGATGGTGACTGATGTTGAAGGAAGACATCTTGCACCATGTGAGGATACAAAAAGGGTGCAGGTGCTGGTGACTAGAACCTCCAGCTGAAGCAGTAGATGGTATCAATTCTGGTCACTCGCCAACGTTCTGTATTGCGCACCCCGTGGAAGTGGTTGTTTCAGCATCTTCGGCTCAGCAGTCAAAGTTGCCATGCCGATGTTCGATGCACCAAGAGGAAAAGTACCCCAAAACAAAAGTCTTGCCGTTTGATTGGATGCAAGTTAAACCCAGCTCACACATCTTCAGTTTGCAGCGGAGGTGTGTTCTTATTTGTGTTCATGTCATGTTTGCATCCGTTTGCATTCTGAACGAGGCCATGTCCGTCTGAGGGATGGCATCTCAAACTCCAGGGGCTACTGGACGAAGAGCCCTTGGATGGCTGTTTTTGGGCCTCCTGGTGGTGTGGGAAAGAGTCCATTGCCATGCTTTTTCCGCGCTGTCCAAAGCTCAAAAGCATAAGGTCTGGAAACAATTGCGGGAGTTGAAGGAAGAGGAAGCTCAACTGAAGAAGTTTATGAAGACATTGGCTTGGCCAAAGTTGACTTGCTTCCAAGCATTCGGCAAGACATACAACTTGCCGTTGCGTGACCGGACTGCGAGCAAATCCCCTTCAGCAGCTGAGTTGGGGTACTTGGGTGGTTTCTTTGACGGCGACGGGTGCGTGGCTCCTCAAAACAATTTGTCAGGCTGTCAGCTGAGAATAGGACAACTGGCAGTCAATGCCAAGGTGCTCATCCTGTTTCGGCGCTTCTTCGGAGGAGGCATAGGCATTCAGAGACCAGGCATTGGAATCCAACAGCCACTGCTGCAGTGGGTGATTTATGGTGAGAAGGCTAGAGCTGCAGCAAGGCAACTGTGCAAAGTTTGTTTGAGCAAGACCGAGCAGCTGCAGCTGGCCAGCAATTGGCCGGATGACAAAGATAAGCGCCAATTGGTCGCAGACAAGCTCCGCGAGCTAAAGCGGTGCCCTCCCAACATTCCAAAACAATCAAGGTCTTCATGGGCGCACTTGGCAGGGCTGTTCGATTCAGATGGTTGCATTCGTTTGCTCAGCTCACAGATATCTTTGTCGCTCAGAATTTCGCAGAAGTATGAAGCTCTTTTGGTTCGGAGCAAGACCTTTCTCAATTCAAAGCTTGGAACACCGATTGCAAAGGTCTATGCACTACGAGCAGACTATGTGTTACATGTCGATGATCAGAAAGCAGTGCAGGTTGTACTCAACAAGCTATTGAATGCTGGTTTGACCGTCAAAAGCCCCACAGCTAAGTGCGCACTGTCTCTTCGTGAAGACAACCATGCCTTAATTCGAGATCAGATATCTAGCACCACCACTGGCAATCAGGGCCGATACACCAGACTGGATGTGGAAGGCTGCAAGCGTTCTAAGCGCATACAGCGTCTCCAGACTGAGAAGTGCCAAGCTCAAAAGAGGAATGACAGCGACTTGGTGGCGCAGCTCGAGCGCAATATCACTGGCCTACAGCTCCATCATAAGATAGAGAATGTCAAGACTAGCATCCGTCGTCGGACTAAGGACATCCAGAAGTTGTTGCTTGAAGGTGCCAAATCAACTAAACCCCATCTAGCTAATATGCTTAAGCTCGATCTTGACCTCATCTCCTCCGCAGAAAAGGAAAAGTTGCCCGCACGTCGCCTGTCAAATTACGTGGGTGCAGGAGGTTGGTCAAGTGGGAGCTGTGGACCTTGTCGTGGGCCTTGTCGTGGGAGACTGTTTCTGGGTGACTGGTCAAAAGGGTCGTTTGCCACACGAGGCCCTTCACTGCAAGGGTAGACAGGTGTTCCAAGGACACCTCCGCTGGGTGCTGTTCACAGCATCTGTGTTTGGTGGACAAACATCCGCGAAAGACTTACACTCTGACTCAGTAACATGGAAGTGGATGGCACGGAGACTATACTATCTATACTTTCCTTTATGAACAGGAGGTCTTCCACTTCCATGTGAGTGAGTCCGAGTGTCAGTGTTTTAGCTACAACTGCAAGGGTACTGGGTCTTGATGCACATCCCACCACGGGGCATCAACAAAGGTGACCTTCCCTCATATGCTTCTCCATCTCGGAATCGTTCGCCGTTTGACTTTTTGAAAACATGGGAATATTGTTTTGAATATGATGATTCCCAACTAGATAGAATTACACACTCACCACATGCATGTCTTGAAGAAGCGATGCTTAGCTTGCAATTGGAAGCCAGCGCAAGCAGTGCTGTGCCGAAAAGAGGGTGGCAGATGTAGTGTCAGATTCTCACCGCCTTTCCAGCATCTCAAGCCACTCCTTTGACTTGAGTTTGTTAGGTGTGCTTTGCTGTGGACGAGTAGGGTACCGCGAAATGTGCTTGCAAGCAGATCCAGTTGGAAGGCATCTTTCGCTCAGGAGTTCAAGTTGACATGCCAACATGCAGGCATGGAAGCCAGCTCACACGTCTTCAGTTTGCAGCAGGAGTTGTTTTAAAAGCGTTTTGCTCTCCCTAGGCACTACCCTAGCTCCATGTGTGTTCTCCATGTGTGACACAGCCGTTCCTCTCCTCCTTAACCCCAGGTGTGTTCATGTTATCTCAGCGTTCTTTGTCTCGAGCCATAGCAGCTCAGCCAGCTCAGCTTGCTGCATGTCCGTCCGAGGGATCTCGGCATCTCGAACGACCGAACGAGCCTTTGGACGACGGGCTGTTGGACCACTCCTGGGGCTGCTCGCACTCCTGGTGGTGTGGGAAAGAGTCCATTGCCATGCGTTTTCCGCGCTGTCCAAAGCTGAAGAGCATGAGCTCCGGAAAGAATTGGGGGAGTTGAAGGAAGAGGAAGCTCAACTGAAGAAGTTTATGAAGACATTGGCTTGGCCAAAGTTGACTTGTTTCCAAGCATTCGGCGAGACATACAACTTGCCGTTGCGCAGCCGGACTGCGAGCAAATCCCCTTCAGCAGCTGAGTTGGGGTACTTGGGTGGTTTCTTTGACGGCGACGGGTGTGTGAGTCCTCAAGCCGATTTCTCAGGCTGTAGGCTGTTTATTTCACAAGTAGCAGTCAATGCTGAGGTCCTCATTTTGTTTCGGCGCTTCTTCGGAGGAGGCATAGGCATTCAGAGACCAGGCATTGGAATCCAACAGCCACTGCTGCAGTGGGTGATTTCGGGTGAGAAGGCTAGAGCTGCAGCGAGGCAACTGTGTAAAGTTTGTTTGAGCAAGACCAAGCAGCTGCAGCTGGCCAGCAATTGGCCATGCGACAAAGATGAGCGTCAATTGTTTGCACGCAAGCTCCGCGAGCTAAAGCAGTGCCCTCCCAACATTCCAATCCAATCAAGGTCTTCGTGGGCACACTTGGCAGGGCTGTTCGATTCAGATGGTTGTATTCATCTGAAGTCCTCACAGACATCTTTGTCGCTCTTAATTTCGCAGAAGTATGAACCTCTTTTGGTTCGGAGCAAGACCTTTCTCAATTCAAAGCTTGGAACACCCATTGCAAAGGTCTACGCAGTACCTGCACGCTATGCCTATGATTTACAAATCAATGAAAAGAAAGCAGTGCAGGTTGTACTCAACAAGCTGCTGAATGTTGGATTGACCATCAAAAGACGCTCAGCTAAGTGCGCACTGTCTTTGCGTGAAGACAACCATGCCTCAATTCGAGAGCAGATATCTTGCACAACCGGCAATCAGGGACGATACACCAGACTGGACGAGCAAGGCTGCAAGCGTTCTCAGCGGATACAGCGTCTTCAGACTATGAAGTGGAAAGTTCAAAGGAGCAATGACAGCGACTTGGTGGTGCAGCTCGAGCGCAATATCACTGGCCTACAGCTCCATCATAAGATAGAGAATGTCAAGACTAGCCTCCATCGTCGGACTGAGGACATCCAGAAGTTGTTGTGTCAAGGTGCCAAATCAACCAAACCCCATCTAGCCAATATGCTTAAGCTCGATCTTGACCTCATCTCCTCCGCAGAAAAGAAAACTTGCTCGCACGACACCTGTCGAATTGGGTGGGTGCAGGAGGTTGGTCAAGTGGGAGCCGCGGACCTCGAACTTCAGTTTTTTCAATGCAGAATTGTTGGTTGATGTTGTGCGACCTTGGTTTGAAGTACCCCTTCAGCGTTCCAAGTTCCATTTGAGTTACTAGTTTTCATGGTCCTTGATCCACAAGGTGTTTGCAATGTCTTCGTGCTGGTCATAGGGTCGTTTGCCGCATGAAGCCGTTCTTCACTGCGAGGGTAGACAGGTGTTCCGACGCCACATCCGATGGGTGCTGTTCACAGCGCCTGTGTTTGCTGGACAAACATCCGCAAAAGACTTAAACTCTGACTGACTCACATCACATGGAAGCGGATGGCATGGTCCCGAACGGAAGACTAGATACTTTCCTTTACGAACAGGGGGTTTTCCGCTTCCATGTGAGTAAGTCGGAGTGTAAGTGTTTTAGAATGTGTTAGATATATATTATATATATAGCTGCAAGGGTACTGGGTCTTGACACACATCCCACCACCAGGAAACAACCAAACTAACCTTCCCTCATATGCTGCTCCATTTCAGAGTCCTTGGGCGTTTGACTCTTTGAGAGCGTGGAAATCATTTTGGAACATGATGGTTCACAACTGGATGGAAGATGACACGCTCACCACATGCATGTCTTGAAAAAGGGATACTTGCAACTGGAAGCCCGAGATATTCATAAAAGTTGCAAATCTGGCATCAGATTCCCACCGCCTTTCCAGCATCTAAAGCCACTCCTTTCATTTGAGTTTGCTTGTACGCGTGCTTTACTGTGGGAGAGTAGGGTACAGAGAAATGTACTTGCAAACAGATCCAGTTGGAGAGTTCAAGTTCGACATGCCAACATGCAGGCATGGAAGCCAGCTCACACGTCTTCAGTTTGCAGCAGGAGGTGTTGTTTTTTAAAAATGCTCTCCCCAGGCACTACCCTGGCTCCATGTGTGCTACAGGTGTTGCTTTCCTGCTTAGCCCCAGGTGTGTTCATCTCATCTCTGCATTCCATTTTTCTCGAGCCATAGCAGCTGCTCAGCCAGCTCAGCTTGCTGCATGTCCGTCCGAGGGATCTCGGCATCTCGAACGACCGAACGAGCCTTTGGACGACGGGCTGTTGGACCACTCCTGGGGCTGCTCGCACTCCTGGTGGTGTGGGAAAGAGTCCATTGCCATGCGTTTTCCGCGCTGTCCAAAGCTGAAGAGCATGGGCTCCGGAAAGAATTGCGGGAGTTGAAGGAAGAGGAAGCTCAACTGCAGAAGTTTATGAAGACATTGGCTTGGCCAAAGTTGACTTGTTTCCAAGCATTCGGCGAGACATACAACTTGCCATTGCGCAGCCGGACTGCGAACAAATCCCCTACAGCAGCCGAGTTGGGGTACTTAGGTGGTTTCTTTGACGGCGACGGGTGCGTGCGTCCTCACGCCGATTTGTCAGGCTGTCAGCTGAGAATTACACAACTGGCAGTCAATGCCAAGGTGCTTATTTTGTTTCGACGCTTCTTTGGAGGAGGCATATGCATCCATAGCCAAGGCATTGGAATCCAACAGCCAGTGCTGCAGTGGGTGATTTCGGGTGAGAAGGCTAGAGCTGCAGCGAGGCAACTGTGTAAAGTCTGTTTGAGCAAGACCGAGCAGCTGCAGCTGGCCAGCAATTGGCCGTGCGATAAAGATGAGCGTCGATTGCTTGCATGCAAGCTCCACGAGCTAAAGCAGTGCCCTCCCAAGATTAAAAAACAATCAAGGCCTTCATGGGCACACTTGGCAGGCCTGTTTGATTCAGATGGTTGCATTCATTTGAGCCAACGGATGTCTTTGTCGCTCATACTTACGCAGAAGTATGAAGCTCTTTTGGTTCGGAGCAAGACCTTTCTCAATTCAAAGCTTGGAACACCGATTGCAAAGGTCTATGCACGACGTGCATGCAAGTGCCATGATTTGATCATCAGTGAACAGAAAGCAGTGCAGGTTGTGCTCAACAAGCTATTGAGCACTGGATTGACCGTCAAAAGCTGCACAGCTAAGTGCGCACTGTCTCTTCGTGAAGACAACCATGCCTTAATTCGAGAGCAGATATCTAGCACCACCACTGGCAATCAGGGACGCTACACCAGACTCGACTTGGAAGGCTGCAAGCGTTCTCAGCGGATACAGCGTCTTCAGAAGAAGAAGCGCCAAGCTCAAAAGAGGAATGACAGCGACTTGGTGGCGCAGCTCGAGCGCAATATCACTGGCCTACAGCTCCATCATAAGATAGAGAATGTCAAGACTAGCATCCATCGTCGGACTGAGGACATCCAGAAGTTGTTGTGTCAAGGTGCCAAATCAACCAAACCCCATCTAGCCAATATGCTTAAGCTCGATCTTGACCTCATCTCCTCCGCAGAAAAGAAAACTTGCTCGCACGACACCTGTCGAATTGGGTGGGTGCAGGAGGTTGGTCAAGTGGGAGCCGCGGACCTCGAACTTCAGTTTTTTCAATGCAGAATTGTTGGTTGATGTTGTGCGACCTTGGTTTGAAGTACCCCTTCAGCGTTCCAAGTTCCATTTGAGTTACTAGTTTTCATGGTCCTTGATCCACAAGGTGTTTGCAATGTCTTCGTGCTGGTCATAGGGTCGTTGGCCGCATGAAGCCCTTCTTCACTGCGAGGGGACAGGTGTTCCAAGACCAAATCCGATGGGTGCTGTTCACAGCACCTGTGTTTGGTGGGCAAGCATCGGCGAAAGACTTAAACTCTGACTGACTCACATCACATGGAAGCGGATGGCATGGTCCCGAACGGAAGACTAGATACTTTCCTTTACAAACAGGGGGTTTTCCGCTTCCATGTGAGTGAGTCGGAGTGTAAGTGTTTTAGAATGTTTTGGATATAGCTGCAAGGGTCTGGGTCTTGACGCACATCCCACCACGAGGCAACAACCAAAAGTCACCTTCCCTCATATGCTGCCCCATGTCAGAGTCCTTGGCCGTTTGACTCTTCGAGAGCGTGGAAATCGTTTTGGAACATGATGGTTCACAACTGGATAAAAGATGACACGCTCACCCCATGCATGTCTTGAAAAAGGTATACTTGCAACTGGAAGCCCGGATATTCATAAAAGTTGCAAATCTAAGGTCAGATTCTCACCGCTTTTCCAGCATCACTCCTTTCACTTGAGTTTGTTTGTACGTGCGCTTTGCTGTGGGAGAGTTGGGTACAGCGAAATGCACCAAACAGATCCAGTTGGAAGGCATCTTCGGCTCAGGAGTTCAAGTTGACATGCCGACATGCAATGCACCAAGGGGACAAGTATCCTTTATATACTGTAAAGGCATGGAAGCCAGCCAGCTCACACATGTTCAGTTTGCAGCAGGAGGTGTCTTGTAAATCTTTTGCTCTCCCTAGGCACTACCCTAGCTCCATGTGTGTTCTCCATGTGTGATACAGCTGTTGCTCTCCTGCTTGGCCTCAGGTGTGTTCATGTCATCTCTGCATTCTCTTTTTCTCGAGCCATAGCAGCTCAGCTCCATGTCCGTCCGAGGGATCTCGGCATCTCGAACGACCGAACGGGCCGTTGGACGACGGGCTGTTGGACCATTCCTGGGGCTGCTCGCACTTCTGGTGGTGTGGGAAAGAGTCCATTGCCATGCGTTTTCCGCGCTGTCCAAAGCTGAAGAGCATGAGCTCCAGAAAGAATTGGGGGAGTTGAAGGAAGAGGAAGTTCAACTGAAGAAGTTTATGAAGAGGCTTGGCCAAAGTTGACTTGCTTCCAAGCATTCGGCAAGACATACAACTTGCCATTGCGAAGCCGGACTGCGAGCAAATCCCCTTCAGCAGCTGAGTTGGGGTACTTAGGTGGTTTCTTTGACGGCGACGGGTGCGTGCGTCCTGAAAAAAGTTTGTCAGGCTGTCAGCTGAGAATAACACAACTGGCAGTCAATGCCAAGGTGCTTATTTTGTTTCGACGCTTCTTTGGAGGAGGCATATGCATCCATAGCCAAGGCATTGGAATCCAACAGCCAGTGCTGCAGTGGGTGATTTCGGGTGAGAAGGCTAGAGCTGCAGCGAGGCAACTGTGTAAAGTCTGTTTGAGCAAGACCGAGCAGCTGCAGCTGGCCAGCAATTGGCCGTGCGACAAAGATGAGCGTCGATTGCTTGCATGCAAGCTCCACGAGCTAAAGCAGTGCCCTCCCAAGATTAAAAAACAATCCAGGTCTTCATGGGCACACTTGGCAGGGCTGTTCGATTCAGATGGTTGCATTTGTTTGGACGCCTCAGGGATGTCTTTGTCGCTCAGAATTTCGCAGAAGTATGAAGCTCTTTTGGTTCGGGGCAAGACCTTTCTCAATTCAAAGCTTGGAGCGCCCATTGCAAAGGTCTATGCACTACGAGCAAAATATGTGTTACAAATCCGTGATCAGAAAGCAGTGCAGGTTGTGCTCAACAAGCTATTGGATGCTGGATTGACCGTCAAAAGCCGCACAGCTAAGTGCGCACTGTCTCTTCGTGAAGACAACCATGCCTTAATTCGAGATCAGATATCTAGCACCACCACTGGCAATCAGGGACGATACACCAGACTGGATGCGGAAGGCTGCAAGCGTTCTAAGCGCATATGGCGTCTCCAGATTAGGAAGTGGAAAGCTCAAAGGAGGAGTGACAGCGACTTGGTGGTGCAGCTCAAGCGCGATATTGCTTGCCTACAACTCTACCATGAGAAAGAGAATGTCAAGACTAGCATCCGCCGTCGGACTGAGGACATCCAGAAGTTGCTGCTTGAAGGTGCCAAATCAACCAAACCCCATCTAGGTAATATGCTTCAGCTTGATCTTGACCTCATCCGTTCCCCACAAGAGAAAATTGCTGGCACGTCACCTGTCGAATTGGGTGGGTGCAGGAGGTTGGTCAAGCCGCAGTCATCGAACCCCCTGCCCTTCGGGAAGGGATATTTTTCACCGCCGGCCGATGCAGAAGGATTTCCCCACCAGGAAGAAGAGTTTCGGTTTTCGGGCGAATGTAGAGGTGGTTGATGTCGTGCAACCTTGTAGAATCTGTTTCTGGGTGACTGGTCAAAAGGGTCGTTTGCCACACGAGGCCCTTCACTGCAAAGGGTAGACGGGTGTTCCAAGGCCATATCCGATGGGTGCTGTTCACAGCATCTGTGTTTGGTGGACAAACATCCGCGAAAGACTTAAACTCTGACTGACTCACATCACATGGAAGTGGATGGCACAGAGACTATACTATCTACTGTATACTTTCCTTTATGAACTCTTCCACTTCCATGTGAGTGAGTCGGAGTGTCAGTGTTTTAGATACAACTGCAAGGGTACTGGGTCTTGGTGCACATCCCACCACGGGGCAACAACAAAGGTGACCTTCCCCCTCATATGCTGCTCCATTTCGGAATCGTTCGCCGTTTGACTTTTGAAAACATGGGAATATTGCGCTGTTTTGAATATGATGCTTCCAAACTGGATAGAATGACACGCTCACCACACGCATGTTTCGAAGAAGCGATACTTAGCTTGCAATTGGAAGCCAGCGCAAGCAGTGCTGTGCCGAAAAGAGGATGGCAGATGTAGCGTCAGATTCTCACCGCCTTTCCAGCATCTAAAGCCACTCCTTTGATTTGAGTTTGTTAGGTGTGCTTTGCTGTGGGAGAGTGGGGTGCAGCGAGTTCTGTGCTTGCAAACAGATCCAGTTGGAAGGCATCTTCGGCGCAGGAGTTCAAGTTGACATGCGATGCAACATGCTATGCACCAAGAATTCTTTGTATACTGTAAAGGCATGGAAGCCAGCTCACACCGGCTCACACATGTGGAGTTTGCAGCAGGAGTTGTTTTTTAAAGCATTTTGCTCTCCCCAGGCACTACCCTGGCTCCATGTGTGATACAGCTGTTGCTTTCCTGCTTGGCCCCAGGTGTGTTCATATCATCTCTGCATTCTTTTTCTCGAGCCATAGCAGCTGCTCAGCTTGCTCCATGTCCGCCCGAGGGATCTCAGCATCTCGAACGACCGAACGGGCCGTTGGACGACGGGCTGTTGGACCTTTCCTGGGGCTGCTCGCACTCCTGGTGGTGTGGGAAAGAGTCCACTGCCATGCGTTTTCAGCGCTGTCCAAAGCTGAAGAGCATGAGCTCCGGAAAGAATTGCGGGAGTTGAAGGAAGAGGAAGCTCAACTGCAGAAGATTATGAAGACATTGGCTTGGCCAAAGTTGACTTGTTTCCAAGCATTCGGCAAGACATACAACTTGCCGTTGCGTGACCGGACTGCGAGCAAATCCCCTACAACAGCTGAGTTGGGGTACTTGGGTGGTTTCTTTGACGGCGACGGGTGCGTGAGTCCGCGAACCAATTTGTCGGGCTGTCAGCTGAAAATTTCACAAGTAGCAGTCAATGCCAAGGTCCTCATCCTGTTTCGACGCTTCTTCGGAGGAGGCATATGCATCCATAGCCAAGGCATTGGAATCAAACAGCCAGTGCTGCGGTGGAGCATTTCGGGTGAGAAGGCTAGAGCTGCAGCGAGGCAACTGTGTAAAGTGTGTTTGAGCAAGACCGAGCAGCTGCAGCTGGCCAGCAATTGGGCATGCGACAAAGATGAGCGTCAATTGGTAGCCGACAAGCTCCACGAGCTAAAGCGGTGCCCTCCCAACATTCCAAAACAATCAAGGTCTTCGTGGGCACACTTGGCAGGGTTGCTCGATTCGGATGGTTGCATTCTTTTGGACCCCTCACATATGTCTTTGTCGCTCAGAATTTCGCAGAAGTATGAAGCTCTTTTGGTTCGGAGCAAGACCTTTCTCAATTCAAAGCTTGGAACACCGATTGCAAAGGTCTATGCACTACGAGCAAGCTATGTGTTACAAGTCGCTGGTAAGAAAGCAGTGCAGGTTGTACTCAACAAGCTTTTGAATGCTGGTTTGACCGTCAAAAGCCGCACAGCTAAGTGCGCACTGTCTCTGCGTGAAGACAACGATGCCTCCATTCGAGAACAGATATCTAGCGCCACCACTGGCAATCAGGGACGATACACCAGACTGGACGCGGAAGGCTGCAAACGTTCTAAGCGGATACACCGTCTTCAGACTGAGAAGCGCCAAGCTCAAAGGAGGAATGACAGCGACTTGGTGGCGCAGCTCGAGCGCGATGTTGCTGGCCTACAGCTCCATCATAAGATAGAGAATGTCAAGACTAGCATCCTTCGTCGGACTGAGGACATCCAGAAGTTGTTGTTTGAAGGTGCCAAATCAACCAAACCCCATCTAGCTAATATGCTTAAGCTCGATCTTGACCTCATCTCCTCCGCAGAAAAGGAAAACTTGCTCGCGCGCAACCTGTCATGTGGAATGGGGTGGAGTGGGAGCTGTGGACCTCAAACTTCCGTTCTTTTGGAATGGAGTTGAATGGTTGGTTGATGTCGTGCAACCCTTGGTTCCCTGGTTTTGAAGTAGGTTTCTGGGTGAAGGAGCTTTCTTCAACCCCCTTCAAGGTTCGAAGTTCCATTTGAGTTCCCCATTTTTCATGGTCCCTGATCCGCAGGGTGTTTGCCCAATGAGTTGACTGTCTTCGTGCTGGTCATAGGGTCGTTTGCCGCACGAGGCCCTTCACTGCAAAGGGTAGACAGGTGTTCCAAGGCCACATTCGATGCAACATTCTTGTGGGTCAAGCGCACCATGAACTTTCCCAAAGCTGCCACACCGGTGCCGAAACCATCGGTGTTTCTTTTCGCGGCGGCGGCGTTACCATTCCCCAGTGCCAGTCCGGTCGCCAGAGATTTGCTCACTCAGAAGCTGGAACACGATGGATCAGCCGTAACAGGCGATCCATCAGCCGTTCGATCCTTGGCACGGCTCCATGGGCCCCCGCTCCTTCCTTTCCAGGCTTCACTCCGCTCCACCACGCGGCGGAGTTCGGTCTGGAGAAGGCAGCAAATCGCCCCGGCGCGCGCGCGCGCCAGCGGAGAGCGTCAAAGAAAGCGCTCTTGAGAAGAAGGAACCCAAGGAACCCGAGGAACCCGGCTGCCCTGCTACATCCTTGAGGTGAGACATTAAGTGAGACCAGTCTTGTGTCGCATCGCATTGGTTCGGTGGGAAGTCTTCTTGTTCGCGTCAGATGTCCCGGAGGTCGAGTGTAGTTTCAAGTAGAGTGTGGACTTTGTTCATGCCACTTTGCTCACCAATGCTCGCCACCTATTGTGTTGTGTGTGGGCATGGACCTGGGAAACAGAATAACATGGAACATCATCACCCGATCGAAATGTAGATTTCACGGACATTTGTCAAGTTGTTGAAGGCCCAAATCTGATGTTTGGACAAGTATTCTACCACCAGTTACACTTGTACACACCCTCAAAACTCTGGCTTGCTTAGAATAGTCTTTGGGGTTTGAGCCGGAAGTTCTGAGAGCAGTAGTATATGCAGGCAGTTGCAGGCAGTGTTTGTAGATCACAATTGGTAGAGGTTGAGTCTGTCCCACTACCTGTAACACAAGAACATCACTGTTTTTTAGAGAAAGGCCTGCAACTGAACCATCCTCATCCACTATTACTGGCACTAGGATCTACCCAAGTGTTAGATAGCACGGATCCAGGGTCGCCCAATGCACATCCAGGGATTCAACCGGAGGCGACCGGAGCTCGGTGACCGTCGCCCCCCATGCGACGGCGACCGGTCGTTCGGTGCCTTCGGCGACCGGTCGAGCGAGGTGCTCCAGCGGCTCTTGATGGCGCGCGCGGATGTGGAGCGACGCACGCGCGAGGGTCTCACCGCAACCTTCATCGCAGCGCAGGAGCTTCAGCCGCAGCCGAGCGCGGTCATGTGGGCCTGTTCGTTGGCCTGTTTACTCTTGGTTGGTTGATTTGATGGGAAGGGGATATACCCTAAAAAGTGCACCACCAATAATATGTATTCTCCCAAAGGAGCGGCACGCATGAACCGTGGATCCCACCATCGCTTTTGACTCTTTGCCTTAGTCAGATGGCACTTGACCCTGGCTGAAAAAAGATCTGTTGGAGTCAAGAGGTGGGTAAACGGTGTAGTGCATAGATATACCTGGCATCGACCTCTCTGTTATTACAAAGGTGGGGCATCATTGGTTAGGGGCCAGGTGGGATGTTCCAAAACGATACCTCGGAAGGACGTCGCTTCGTGAGGAATAGAGAGGCGGGGAACTGACCCGATATAATTGGTACAATTGAGTGATCATGAGTGATCTGATCTATAGAAAGGATATTAAATAGATCGTGTTCTTAAATCTTTGATGTTGCGTGACACTGGTTGGATCATAGTAACCACGGAAAGGGATTCCCGCGCCTTTCACGCCAATGCTTTATCTACCAAGCGCGGGGTCGCCACTTGTTTGGCCCACATGGGCAACAGCGACATGTTCTGCCTAAACAGAAGCCACCATTCCACTGCCACCTGCAGTTAAGCCACCAAGATCCTGTGGATCCAGTCCAAACTTTGCATCTTCCAAATGTCCCTTGCCCTAAGAACCCGGGTCCGTTCCGCAAAGGCTTTGTGAAACCGGGTCCGTTTTCCCCCCTCCGCTTCGCTAGAGAAGGTCCGACCCTTCTCATCCCAAAAAAGGGCCCGTACGGATTCTTTCCACTGGACCATCTCCACAGCCTCTCGCGACCACTTGCCACTGCGGAAGGAAAGACAAAACGGTGAACCACCGGACCATCTCGACCTCTCCGTGGAAGGAAAGACCAACTCCACGTCAAACGCTCGCCGAACTCGTCCCCCAAAGAAAACACCGTTCCGGCTCGAATTTTCGACTGCAGCGCAGCGCCCATCGTGCCAGGAGGGTCGACTTCAAACGGTGCATCTCCTGTTGGAGGCCAAGGCTCAGCTCAACGCGCCCAAGGCGCTCACCGTACCCCCCGCCCCCGCGCCGCTTTCGCCTGCACCGACAGCACCGGCGGCGCCGGCAGCGGCCGCGGCGGTGGGTCGGGGGCAGCCGGCGAAGGCGGAGGTCGCGAAGACTCAGGCGAGGTTTCGGAGTGAGGGTGGACAGACAGGGAGGA